ATATATATATATATATATATATATATATATATATGGAGAGGATCCAATGAGTCCACTCCGTAAAATGAGTCCACTCCTTAAAATATATATTAATTAAATAATAAAATAATTATTAGTTGACTCTGGTGTTGACCGTTGACTTCCGGCGAAAAATCGTTGACTTTCGACGTTGACCGTTGACATTGACCCCTAGTATGCATTATATGTATGAAGTACATATGCATCGAGTACCATGCATTCAATATGAACTAAATATGCATGAGATATGAATTGCACATGCAGTCCTTATGAACTAAACATGCACCAATAATATCAACTAAGTATGCACCTGTTATGAACTAAATATGCATCTGTTATGAAATAAATATGCATCATGAATGAACTAAATATGCAGCGAAAAATATGCAATAAAATGTGCATTTTATATAGGTAATTTATGATGCATATTTTGTTTATTTATTATGAATATTTAGGTAATTTATGATGCATATTTAGTTAATACGAAATGCATACTTGTTATATTTAAATTAAATATATAATAATATCTATATAATTAATTAATTATGCATATTTACTTTTTTTTGCCAAAACGATAGAGGTGATATATAAAAAGCACAAAAGTGCAAAAGGAACAAAATACAAGACCCCAACAGGGTAATATCTAAAGCCCCAACAGGGTAATGAGATAGGGGCCAACGGCCCAAACCAAAAACACCCTACTAAACGAACAGGAAAAGAAAAATGAGAGGACACGCACATGGCGGCTTAAAGAACTCCACAAACGAAATAAAGGAAAATGAAAACAGCACCACTACAGAATGCCTAGCCTGTTATCATCTCCGAACCTAAAAGGAAAACAAATAGGGGCCAAACGGCCTAAACCAAAGACACAGAATACAAAAACAAGACGAGAAAAAAACAAACAGCAACACAGACAAAAACAACTAACTACTACTACCAACGACCCTCCCCAGAAGAATGGCAAACTGAAGAAGCAGCAACATCCGACTCCCGGTCAGG